GCCTGAACACATTTTATGTGGTACATTCAACCAGTACTAAATAAAATCTGACACCAACAAAGAGCCTGCTGTACAGATTTTTAAAAATACCTGTAGTGGGCACATGTTACATTCAAGGCACTGTGGTGAAAGTGATCTAATTTTATCAACATCATTTTGGTGGAATATTTACTAGAGAGAAAATTGGTATGTTTGGAGATAACAATTTGCATTTACTAAATGCAAGAATTGGTAAAACAGTGAGATGTTATATGCTGACAGGGTAGTAAAGGGAAACAGCCTCAAAATGCTTTTTTTGTTTTTGTAAAACATGAATTGTAAAATGTAGTACAGTATGACAACATTTAACTAAAAACATCTATCTTCTTAGATGTACAGAAAAAAGGTCAGGCTAAATAATATGTAAAAGGAAGTAAATGGAGAAGACTTCTGGTTTGTTCTATATAGTAATGAGAACATGTCCATGTGTTTCTTGGATAGAAAAACTCATTTTTATAGGTAGGTCTACCAAATGAGTAGATTTCATTACATCACAGGCTTAGAGTCTTTATTGGCAATTTAAATCATATAATGATCCTCATAATAATAGTTAAGGCTGTAATGCATGTGTGTGTGTGTGTGTGTGTGTGTGTCCATGCAAGCGCCTGCACACATGTGTAATTTAATTTGCCAAATTGCTTTTAGACTGCACTGTTAAATGACTGGTAGTTATAATATATAAGAGGATATTTGAGATCAGAACATACTGGCTATTGCAAGGGGTCTTTCTTTGAGTTATGAGAAAGCCACTTAAGAGAAATAAGTAATGTATTTAACTTATTCTCACTTGAACAAATAATTATGAAGGCACTTTTAGTATTTTTTTGCACATGAGAAAATCAATTTATAATAAGCTTTGATATCACTGTTCAAAACACACTAAAATAGCAATTTTAAGTTAAATGTTTTTGTGCTGATGTTGGGGCTTGAACTAAGAGCCTGGGCAATTGTCCTTTATTTTAGCTTATTCACTCAAAGATGGTACTCTACCACTCAAGCCACACCTCCACTTCTGGGTTTTTGGTGGTTAAATGGAGATAAAGAGTCTCACAGACTTTTCTGCCTAGCTTTGAACTGTGAATCTCTGATCCCAACCTCCTGAGTAGCTAGGTTTATAGACATGAGCCACCAGTAGATGCTAATGTAGGCAAATGAGCTGGTACCAGCAGACAATATCTGAATCAATGCTCTTGCCACAGGATTGGACAAGGGTTATTTTGTTGGTTGGTTGTTTTTTTTATTCCTTTCCCTAGGCCTGGGGTTTGAGCTCAGGGCCTAAGCACTGTCCCTGAACTTTTCTGCTCAAAACTAGTGCTCAACTATTTGGGTCTTATCACCACTTTTGGCTTTTTAGTAGTTAATCGGAGATAAGCATCTCACTGACTTTTCTTTTTGGGATGGCTTTGGACTGTGTAATCCTCAGATCTCAGCCTACCAAAAAGCAGGGATCTCAGCTGTGAGACAATGACCCCCCAGTAAGGGTTTTGCTTTTGTAATTTTCCAATGAATATCTTCTAAAAACACTCAACAGAAAGCTCAACATAGACTAATGAAGATTTTCTCCATTTCTTTTCAAATGTATAAAGAATGTTTGAAAAGCCATGTGGAGAAGGTAATTTAATAATTGTTACTTAGCTCAAATCAAAATAATTGGAGGTCACTCACACAGAACTTTAAGGGCCTTGTTCCAAATTGTACTTTTCAGTGAGACTAAAATTGTCCTCTCTTCAGCCTCAACCCAGTTGAAGTTTAAAAAAATAAATAAATAAAATAAAAAGCAAGATAGTAGGTGTAAATGATTAAGTAGGGCTCCAGGGATGCTCTGGAAAGTGAAAGGGTTGGAAGCTCGAGTTGGAATGTCTCGACACAAAGTCTAGACCATCTGTAATCTGCTGATGGTGAAGAAAACCAGATTATGAAGAAACCTTGTAAAGCGAGCAGCTGCAGGAATCAAGCATGCTGGGAAAACTTGGGATGGCACATAGGAATCACGATCTTAATGCCTGTTTTATACCGTTATCTATGACCCCAAGTGACATTTAGGAGTGACTCCTATCATGGGATGTGAAATATCTGGCAGGAGGAGAGGGGACAGACATCTTTAAGTGCTAAAAGGGAATTGTGAAAATGAGAGCAGGAAGAAGATAACAACTATAAAAACTCATATTGTACTAATGTCTTTTTGTCCTTACTAGGAGGAGATGGACTTCAATATTACAATACAAAATGAACAAATTATAAACTCTTTTCGCAGTTTTTTATTGCAGCCTTCCTATTCTGGAATTAATCTCAAATCTTACATCTTCAAACCTCTCAAAGTCCTGTTGCATGTTTTCTTTCCAGAGCAATAACTTCTCTGCTTACAAAGGCAGATAGGTTTATCTCCTATGAAGGAGAGAAATGAGGAAGAACAGGACAGGTTTTACAACTTTAACCAGATCTCTGTGGCTCACTTGTAAGATTCTTTAATAACTAAGGTAGCTCCCAATGTTCAGAGTTGATTTTTGTTCTTGTTTTGTTAGTGTTGGTGGTGGTAATGGCAGTGATGTGTGTGTGTGTGTGTGTGTGTGTGTGTGTGTGTGTGTGTGTGTGTGCATGCATATATATGTATACTAGGGTTTGAACCAGGCCCTCATACTCTCTTGTTTGGCTGTTTTGTTCAAAGTTAGTGTTCTATCCCTTGAACCACACCTCTACTTTCTGTGTGAATTCCCATCTTCATTGAAGATGCAATTTGATCATGGCTAAACAACTTGACAAAGAGGCTGTCCTTTGTATAAATTAGGAAAATGCATGGCTGTTCCCAGGTAGGCTCCAAGAGGTTTGGGGAATAGAGAGAAGAACAGCTATTTCTCTGCCCCACGTACACCTTTGGCTGGGTAGTCCTTTTTTTTGGGGGGGGGGGGCTCTGGTTGTGGGGCCTGAACTCTGGGCCTGGGCGCTGTCCCTCAGCTCTTCAGCTCAAGGCTGCGCTTTACCACTTGAGCCACAGCGCCACTTCTGGCTTTTTTCTTTTTGCTTATGTGGTGCTGAGGAATCGAACCCAGGGCCTCATGCATGCAAGGCAAGTGCTCTACCACCGAGCCACCTTCCCAGCTCCTGGCTAGGTAGTCTTGTATAGTCAACAACTTGCACAGCTCATTAAGCCACTCTTTCATAGTTAGGCTATCAAATGATTGATGTGAAATTGTATATATGATGAATGACTCATTCACAAAAAGTAAACAAGATGATCAAGATATTGTTCGTCACCTTAACACTAGTAAGCCTTGTGTTAAAATACCTGGGTTGAGAATTTTAAGAGACTACATTGGAAAAGTTAGTTTTAGTATGTGACTTAATTATTGTTTTTCCTGAGCCTTGAGAACTCAAACCATAAAAGAAGGAGATATTAAAACACCATTAACAATTAACTTTGCTCCATAGAGTAACTGCCTGTTCCTTTTCTAAACTCACTTGGAAATCCACCCACCATAATGGCTTCACAAGCTGTGTCTGGCCAGAGGCTGGTGGCTTATGCCTGAAATCTTTGCTACTAAGAAGGCTGAGATCTGAGTGTGGTGGTTCAAAGCTAGACTGGGCAGAAAAGGTTGTAAGACTCTTGTCTCCCGAAAACTACCAAAAAGCCAGAAGTTGAGCTATGGGTCAAGGGGTAGAGTGCTAGCCTTGAACATAGAAGCTCGACAGAACCCAGTCCTTTAATTTTTTAAAAAAGGCTATACATTAATACAGAGCTAAGCTTAAAGGGAAGGAGGAGATGTTCAATTCCACGAGTATCAAACATAAAATGCCTTCTGCACCTCTTTCTGGGCACTGTGGGGCAAGCACACTTACAAGTGAATCAGCATCCTAAAAAATTGTTGGACAATGGAATATAAACTCACTGAAATGTTTCAAATTATCATCTTGCTGTTTTTTTTTCTTCCCTGTCCCCTCTGCTCCTGCCCACCACCCTTACATAAGCATTGGTGGTCAAATAACCCAGGATCTGTGAAGGGGTATTCAGAGACACACAGATTCCATAAGAAACATAGCAGGGAGCTGAGAGTCAGCAACTCACACATATAATCCCAGTTACTCAGTAGGTTGATATCTGAGGGTCTCAGTTCAAAACCAGCCTGGGCAGGTAAGTCTGTGAGACTCTTGTCTACAATGTACCACTAAAAGGCTGGTAGTAGAACTGTGGCTCAAGTGAAAGAATGATAGCCTTGAGCTTAAAAGCTCAGAGACAGTGTCCAGGACCTGAGTTCAAACTCCAGGACTAGCACAATGAAGAAAGAGAGAGAGAGAGAGAGACAGAGACAGAGACAGAGAGACAGAGAGAGAGGGGAGAGAGAGAGTGCACATAAGAGAGAGAAGGGGGGAAGAAAGAAAGAAGGAAAGGAGGGAGGGAGGGAGGGAGGGAGGGAGGGAGGGAAGGGAAGGAAAGGGAAGGGAGGGAAGGGAAGGGAAGGGAAAGAAGGTAGGAAGGAGGAAGGAAGAGGAAGGAAGGAAGAAAGGAAGGAAGGAAGGAAGGAAGGAAGGGAGAGAGAGAAAAGAAAGAAAGAAAGAGACTGCAGAAACCAGGCTCATGTCTCCACATCCAAGGAAGTCTGGTTGTACTGCTAATCACACTGGTTGATCTGACACCATCCTTGGAAGAGGATCTCATGAATAGCAGTGACATTTCACCACAGCACAGACAGAGGCAGGGGAAGAAACCCTCTAGGACCAGTAGGAAGAAAGCAGAGCAAGGCAGAGTCAGGAAGGCATGCTGGGCGTGGAAAAAAGCCTTTGATATTCCACATAAGGATCTAGACCTGGGAAAGTAGAATCAGCTTCAAAGGAGGCTGTGTGACTCAGATTTTAGTAAGTTCCAACACTTTTTGCTTTTGCATTAATAATACCCTTGTTTGTTTAATGTCCCCAGATGGAGAAGCCTATCCACCCCACCCCCGAGCTAAAAAGCACCCCTTTATTACCTCAATGATGTAGAGGACCACATTCTTATAGAAACAGTATAGTATGCACTTGGTCACCCGGTTGTAGCTCCAGGCTCCATGGACCAAAAGGAGTTTCTCCAGGTAGGAAAACTGAAAAGCAAGAGCAACAAAGTTCAAAAGAGACTGTGAGGAAAGAAAAGATATTAAAAGGCCAGGCGCCACACCTATACTCCTAGCTACTCATGAGGCTGAGATCTGAGGATCATGGATCAAAGCTAGTCTGAGCAGGAAAACCTGTGAGACTCTTATCTTCAATAAACTACCAAAAAAGCTGTAAGTGGAGCTGTGGCTCAAGAGGTAGAGGGCTATCTTTGAGCAAAAGAAGTGAAGGGACAGTACCCAGACCCTGAGTAAAAACTCTAGGACTGGTGTTTTGTTTTGTTTTTTAAAAAGGTACTAAATGTTCTGATAAGTAGAAAACAGAAGGCAGGGAGAGAAAAGTAAATACTGGAGGTAACCCATGGAAACTATTCCTATAGGAGAAACTTTCAGGATATTGAGAACAAGGAAAATCTCTTGAATTGGCTAGATAATAACTTTGCAGAAATAAGTCTCTGTTCTCATTGCCACTTCATGGAATTTTATTTAAACTAATGCTTTTCACATATTATAAGAAGGTGACCAAGCCGGGTGCTAGTGGCTCATGCCTGTAATCTAGCTGAGATCTGAGGATCAAGGTTTGAAGCCAGACCAAACAAGAAAGCCTATGAGAATTGTATCTCCAATTAACTAACCAAAAAGCAGGAAATGGAGTTGTGGCTCAATTGGTAGAGCATTAGCCTTGAGCCAAAAAGCTCAGGAATAGCACTCAGGCCCTGATTGAAGGCCCAGGATTGGCACACACACACACACACACACACACACACACACACACACACACACACACACACACACACACACACACACACACACACACACAGAGCAAGGCACCAGTGGCTCATGCCTGTAATCCTGGCTACTCATGAGGCTGAGATAGGAGGATTGCAGTTTGAAGCCAGGCCAAGCAAGAAAGTCTGTGAGACACAGAAGGAAAGAAAGAAGGGAGGAAGAAAGGAAAGGAAAGGAAAGGAAGGAAGGAAGGAAGGAAGGAAGGAAGGAAGGAAGGAAGGAAGGAAGGAAGGAAGGAAGGAAGGAAGGAAGGAAGGAAGGAAGGAAGGGAGAAAAAGACAGACCAAGACAGAGAAAGAGAAAGAAAGGAAGGAAGGATGGAAGGGAGGGAGGGAAGGAAAGGAGAAAGAGAGAGAGGGAGAGAGAGAAGCCATCTGACTAAATAATCTAATCACAGATTTTATGGTAACTACAGGACCAAGGGACAGGGATGGGGATGCTCATGCAATAGTGCCTTAAAAAAAAAAAAAAACAAAGCAAACAAAAAAACCCAGATACACATGTCCAGGTGCCTGTGGCTCTTACCTGTAATCCTAGCTACTCAGGGAAAACCTGTTATGTTTCAAAAAACATTTCTTTGCAAGAGGAAATTATACATTAATCCCCATTAGCACAGAAGACTTATGTCCCAGGTAAAGGTACATTTCTTTCTAATCAGGGAAGGCACAGCCATTCATCCCCACACTCTGAATCTGGAGAGCAAGTTAAAAATGACAGTGAGTATATATGGAAAAACAAACCTCCCCATAAAAGCTCATTAAAGATTCCAAAGGGGAATGAGGGATCATAAAAATAACTAGCTAAACAAATATAAAGGAAGTTTGCATTTGACCTGGATGCCCTGGTGTTAAATATCAATGGGCACCAAGAACATCTGCTTCAGTCATCCTGAAAGCTACAACCTGAGCACTACAATAATTTGTTTCCAGGAAAAAAAATAAAGAACACATCCTAAATCAAAATGCTGTCTTCAAAAGGCCATTCAGGGAACATTAAGAAGGCAGGGGGCAGACATGATTCACTGGGAGAAGGACAGGAAGCTCAGGGCTGCAGGCACACCATTACACCACCATGCAGTCCACATTGATCCGGTCAAGGCAGCAAAAGAAGCCTCAAGGACAGGCCTGGGGTTCCCTCTGTGTGTGAAAGCCCAGGGAAGGCAGCACACATAAGTAAAACCAGAATTCCCTAAGTTTCTGGAGCAAGTCTTTGAAGTATATATCCATTTGCTTATAGAGTGCATACTCATAAATGCAATCAAAAATGCATTTTTTAGCCAGGTGCAAGTATCTCATGACTGTAGTCCTAGCAACTCAGAAAAGTAAGATCTGAAGATCACAGTTCAAAGGCACCCTGGGCAGGAAAGTCCATGAGACTCTTGTCTCTAATCACCAAAAAGCCAGAACTGGAGCTGTGCGTCAAGTGATAGAATGCTAGCCTTGAGCAAAAAAAAAAAAAAAAAGTCAGGAACAGTGCTCAGGCACTGATTTCAAGCCCCAGGAGTGGCATTAAAAATGCATTCGTCTACATCAATTTGAATGTATAAAAAGCACACAGAGCTGGGCACTGGTGGCTCACGCCTGTAATCCTAGCTACTCAGGAGGCTTAGACCTGAGGACTGTGGTTCAAGCCAGCCGTATGAGATTCCTATTTCAAATTAACCACAAAAAAGGCTGGAAGTGGAGTTGTGACTCTATTAGAGCAAAATAAAGCTCAGGAACATTTCACAGGCCTGGCACAAAACACATTGTGCACATGTGCACACACATATACATTCAAAGAGATAGGCAACAGTGGTTCTCCCCTGTAATCCTAGCTACTCAGGAGGCTGAGATTTGAGAATGAATCTCAATTTGAAGCCAGCCCAGGCAGAAATCTGAGTGACTCTTATCTCTAATTACCCAGCAAAAGGTTGGAAGTAGAGTACAAGACTTGAACAAAAACAAACAAGTGAAAGCAGTGAGGGAGGCTGATTTCAAGCCCCAGTCTTGGCACAACAAACAAATAAACAAACAAAAAACAAACACTAAAAGCAGACAGAGATGTTTGTTAATTGGGGCAAAGGAATTCATCCAAGCATGACATTTCTTGTATAGTAATTAAGAAGCCAGAAGCTTGGTGTTGGGTAGAGGGTGGGAAGGAAGGCTGGAACAAAGTCAGCCCTGAAATAAGAACATCCCATCCTAATTATGCCCAGGGACAGAGGACAGGACAAATTGGATTCAAAGGAGACATGTGGTCTCCATTGGTTCATTTAGCAGAGGTGACAACCTGGAGAGACTGGAGAAACCCCCAAATGGACTTCTAAAACCTTTCACCTTTCTTTGATGCTTTCTATTGGACAAGAACAATTGCTGAGATCCCATACTCTATTAGTATAAGCTTTCAATAAAGCAACTCATGGAATCTCCCTTCCCTAGACATTTTAAAGGAAAGGACAGGCAAATATTTGCCTGGAACTCCTAGGAAACCTCTTAAGATCCTTTGTAGCCACATGATGTTATAACTCAAGTATTTAATAACACTGGAGTGTATAACATCAACAGTTGCTGATGGCTAACAGGAAATGCGATTCCCACAGGCCTATGTACTAGGGAAAGTACTTGGGCAGGTGTGTGCAGCAGTTCCCAAGTTCACATAGTCTTTCAACAAACTTGAACATGTGCTTGGATCTGAAGTAGGTCACTATGCAATGAAACTCCAGTTTTCCCACCTGTAAAATTAGAACTTCTTCTACTTCAGGAATTATGTTTTTAGAAATTAACTTTTTATTTCTCTCTTTTTTGTGTGTGTGTCAGTCTTTTGGGCTTAAATTCAGGTACCATGCCCTGGCTTTTTCATTCATACCTTATGCTATACTTGAGACATACCTCCACTTCTGGCTTATGCTGGTTATTTGGAGATAAGAGTCTCCTGGAAGTCCATGAGTACAAATTATATTAAATGAAGTAAGCCAGGCCCAAAGAAACATAGGTCTCCTGTTTTCCCTTATTTACAATAACTAGTATATGTCTAAGACAAGCAGAAATGGTCAGATAAGTTGATGTTAGGGAAATGAACCCCAAGATAAGGACTCAAATGTTTTTCCTTTCTTGCTATTGTTTCTAACATAAGATGATTTCTTTGTTGCTTTGTATGTCCCTTCCCCACAGTATAACCCCTGTTTTCACTGTATTTAATGTTGATATAATTTGTGGAGAAGAGAAAAAACAAATTGTTTAAGTAGGGATACAGGTGGACCCACTGCAACAATGAGATGTACAGGATGGGGGGATGGAGGGGAAGGGAAGGCAGGGATGGTAAGGGGAAGCAAAAGAGGAGGCAACAATGCTTGATACGGAAAAAAAAAGAAACGTACTCATTACCTTGCTCATGTAATTAAAACAAAAAAGAGAGATTCTCCTGGAATTTCCTGCCTGGACTGGTTTCAACTATCAATTCTCAGATCTCAGTCTCCTGAATAGCCAGGATGACATGTGTAAGCCACTGGCACCTGGCTTATTTTATTTTTTTGAAATCTTTTAATAGTCATCAAAGGAATTTCAACTCAACACCTCAATTTATATGCATCTTGACCAATGTCACCCTCAAGAATTCTTGTTCTCCATCAAGAATTTCTTTGCAGATTTAGGGATTTGAAATCAATCAAGGGACAAAATTAATTACATGTACTTTTCAGAGCCCCATGGATTTTTTTTAAACATAAGAGGGTTGATGCTAAGTGAAATAAACCCCAAAATAGGGACATAAGAGGTTTTATCTTTGTTGCTGTTGTTTTTAATGTACTTATAATGTACTATGCAATTTTTTTGTTTCTTTTGTATGTTCTTCCCCCATGTAACCCCTGTTTTCATGTATTTGATTCTGGTGCCCTGCATCTTGTATATACATTTTTCTAATTTAGGGAGGGGAAGAGAAATAACAAAATGCTGAAAAAAGGATACAGTTTGATCCGTTGTAACAATGAGATGTACAAGACAATATGTTGAACTTTACAACTTGCGGGAGGGTATTGGGGAGGAGGGAAGGGAAGAGATGGTAGGGGAAAAACAAAGGAGGGGGTAACAATGTTTGATAGGAAATGTACTTACTCATGTAACTGTAACCCCTCTGTACAGAATCTTTACAATAAAAAATAAATATATTTTTAAAAAACCATAAGAAGTTATCCTCCTTTGGGGATAGACAACCCGAAGCTTCCAAGGACTGGCCTCCAAGCCTTGGGACTGCAAGAAGCTTGTTTGAATTTTATATGCAGTCCCTGATTTCAGCTCGAAAGGGAACAATACCACTATTCATTGGAATCATGTGGTTTATGCCTAATTATGCCTAATGCATTCTTTTTTGTGTGTTTGTACTAGTACTGCAGCTTGATCTCAGGACCTGGGTGCTGTCCCTTAGCTTTTTAGCTCAAGGTTGGTGATCTGTCTCCTCAGCCATACCTCCACTTCTGGCTCTTGGGTAGTTAATTGGAGATAAAAGTTCTCATAAGCTGGGCATTGGTGGCTCACACCTGTAATCCTAGCTACTCAAGAGACTGAGATCTGAGGGTTGCGGTTCAAAGCCAGCCCAGACAGGAAAGTCCATGAAACTCTTATCTCCAATCAACCACCAGAAAACTGGAAGTGGTGCTATGGCTTAAGTGGTAGAGCGCTTCCCTTGAGCTGAAGAGCAGAGGGACAGTGCCCAGGCCTATAGTTCAAGCCCTATGACTGACAAAAAAAAATTAAAAAATCTCACTAATTTTTCTGTCCTGGCTGGCTTTAAACTTCAATCCTTATATCTTAGCTTTGGCCAGTCATGGTCAAAGCTGATCCCACTATTCTGTCATTCAGGTGATGTGTTTGCTTTTCCTGACAGATAGGCATCTGGTCCTGCTTAGCTTCTTGAGTAGCTAGGATTACACATGTGAGCCATGGGTACCTGGCTAGTCATTGCATTCTTTAAAAGCCTAAACAAGAATTTATGTGGAAGCTCTCCCTAACCAACCAACCACCATGCATTTAGCCACAAAAACTGTGATCTAGAGATAAGAGGAAATTTTCTGTGTTCCCTGGGACGCCTAGATTTCTGACTCATCAACATGCCAGATAACTTAGTTATGTCCCACAAGGGGTCACAAGGCTGGCTCTTCTTCATCTGTAGGTGTCTTTAAGGAATGGCTATTTCTTTCATCCTCAGACCACCTGTGCAATAACCACAATGCTCACATCAGAGAGGAATGGAATGGACTTGGCCAGACTATAGAAGGTACTTTGATGCTGACCATGGGGCCAGACCTGGGCCAACCCTGGCCCAGGTTGTCAGCAATTCATCTCACAGCTGTGGTCCTGGGCAGTCACAATGACTGGAGGGCAGGAAAACTATAAATCACTGCCCTTCCCTGATATTAAATGCCTAACCACCACATGCCAGCACCAGGAGATGCCTGGAGGGCATGGTAGAGAATGGGGGTTACAAGCACAGCTGTTCTGAACAGAAGATACATACCAGAAACAGTAGACACTGAACACTGGTGCTCGTGCCTGTAATCCTAGCTACCACAGAAGGTTGAGATCTGAGGATCATGGTACAAGGCCAGCCCCAACAGAAAAGTCTGTGAGACTCTCATTTCCAAATTAACCACCTACAATCCAGAAGTGGAGGTGTTATTCAAGTGGTAGAGCATCAGCCTTGAGCAAAAAAGCTAAGGGATGGTGTTTAGGCTCTGAGTTCAAACCCCAGAACAAGCACAAAAAAGAAAAAGAAGGAGGAGAGGAGGAGGAAGGGAAGGAGGAGGAGCAGGAGCAGCAGCAGCAGCAGCAGCAGCATGCAGCAGAGGGCGAGAGAATTTTAGCAGGACCAGATGCCTATCTGTCAGGAAAAGCAAACACATCACCTGGATGACAGAATAGTGGGACCAGCTTTGACCATTACTGGCCAAAGCAAACACAATTGGCAAGAGGAAGCCTTAGAGCTACATAAGATCAAAACAACAGGGAAAGTTGAATACACTAGCTCAGAAAGGTGGGGTACAGAACTATAGATCAAGTACTAGGTTCCGAAGCCTAGCACATGACCGCCGGTTATCATATGGCTGACCTGTGCAATGGCGTAATCTGAGTTGTTGGTGGCCTGCATGCCCTCATTGCCACTGATCCCTACACCCACATGGGCTGTTTGGATCATCCCGACATCATTGGCGCCATCTCCAATGGCGAGAGTGATGGCCTTTACCCGCTTCTTCACCACATCCACTATCTCAGACTTTTGCAGAGGAGACACTCTGTAAGAGAAAGGAGAGAAATGGTGAGGATCAACATCCTTCCAGTGGTAAACAATTTCACTCCACATTCTGCTGCTTTATTACCAGGTACTGGTGGTTCATTCTGTAATCCTAGCTACTAGGAGGCAGAAATCTGAAGATTGTAGTTCAAAGATAGCCTAGGCAGGAAAGTCCTTGAGACTCTTTTCTCCAATAAACTACCAAAAAATTCAGAAGGAACGCTGTGGCTCAAGTGTTAGGGCAGTAGCCTTGGACATAAAAATTAAGAGACAGTGCCCAGGCCTTGAGTTCAAGTCTCAGTACCAGAAAACAAAAGGCAGTTATTGAATAATCTCCAAATCCAATCCATACGTTTGATGCTCATATGCAAAGAAGCTTTCAGAAAACAGTAGCTTGTGGCTTTCAAGTGTTTGCCAGTTTCACAGATGAAACACCCGACTCCAAACTAACTTAAAACACAGCCTATTCACAATCACCCCGCTCACTGAGAACCATATGAACAAACCCTTCAAGGGATCATTTGTCCTGCTGAATGATGCATGGAATTAAGCTAGTCACTTGTCTTTGGGAGTGTCTTCCCAATAAATTAGAGTACTAGGAAGGACCCCATTTGTGCTTTGTTATATGTCATATACATAAGACTGGCAAGGGATTGGTCTGTAAACTGCTTATTTAGAAGAGAAAGAAAATTGGTGGCCCACAAATAAAGTCCAGGAAGAGGGCCAGACCAAGAGGAAAGAAGGGATACTTCTTTACCTCTACCTAGAGGTGGAATTTTATTTGAAGAGCAGTCAGGGCAGAAGAATTTCAGAAAAGGAATCCTAGGAGCAGAAAGTCTACAAGAACTGAACAATGCTTAAGCATAATGCAGAAGAGAAAGATAAAAGCAGCCCCTGAATGAGAGGAACTATTTCAACCAAGGATTAAGGAATGATACCCGTACTTCATGATTCCTCAACTTCTCCAGGAAGAGATTTATGACTATAAATCTACAGTTCTCAAACACAGTCCTATTCATAATGAAGTGGTTGATCAAAATAGAAAACCAGACAACAATATCATAAAAACAACCATTAGAATATCAGAAATTATTTAGCCCAAATTCTAAACTGCTAAAATTTTGCACAAAGTACTTCTCTATCTAATTACAGTAATTACTCTTTATGTGATTATTCATCCAGTGGAGTGGAATATCACCTAATGAGGCCATCATTTACTCTTCAAATCTTCTGCATCCACAAAGATAATGTAAGAGAGCCGGGAACAGAAACGTGACCAGTTCTGGATAGGCTTGTGGCTATAGCTCAGGTGTGTATGTCATTCAAGTCATCAAGAAAGTTGGCCTTTCATCAACAAAACAGGGGTTCAGAGAGAAAGGAAGTCTATGGGGGTATCTTGGTTATTTCACATAGTAAGCAATTGGAAGAACCATGCAACTGGGATAGGAGGGAGCTAAATATATCAAGGGTACTTTTTGAGCTAAAAGTTGCTGCTTTTCTTCTATCAAGAGGAATCTTAAGTTTGGATCTAAAGTGTCCTGCAAATGTCCGCATATTAAAGACTTGTCCCCAGCTTGAAGTTACTGAGAGATAGTGGAGCCTTTAAAAGGTGGTGTCCAGTGAGAAGTCTTTAAAGCACTGGGAATTTGACCTGAAGGGTGATCATCAGACCCCAGATACTTCTTCTTTTTTTTTTGGCCCCTAAAGTGAATATCATTGGTCTACCATACACTCCTGACCATAATGCTCTGCCTCACCACAGGCCCAAATAACTGAGCTAAATCAATCATGGACCCAAACCTCCAGAACTGTGAGCGAAAATAAAGCTTCCTCCAAATAAGTTGATTATACCAGGTATTTTATTATAGTAATAGAAAGCTGGCTAACACAGAGGTTGTCACAATCAGCCAACCAGCAAGAGATAAACTGCAAGTCAAATAGACTCTGTTTGGCTCTCTGGGATTTGAGTATGAAGTAAGTCAGTCAAGTCATGATTAAAATGGCTTACAGTGCACTAGATGATTATACAACAGCTGCCTTTTTCCAACAAGTTAAAGTAAGCGGTATATAAAGCAAGTCATATATCCCAGTGTTTTAGGAGCATGAAATTCTCATCAAGAATTTATTACGCCCTCAGCTGCAATGCCTTGAGAAAGCATAAGTCTAACATACACTAGGGGTTCAAAACAGATGTCAAACAGCTAATTTCTGCAGAACTGAATAGGCACTATTCCATGTCATCCATATGTAGCTTTTTAGTATGCCAAGTTACCACCAAGCAAAACCCAGACCTTTCTCAATCTTAATTTGTGACCTAGAATCACACACCACATTTAATAAGCATTCCTCAGTATGTAATATGTTCATCTCATAAAATAAGAACTCCAGACCACATCTGAATGGAACAAGGTACCTGGCGTATTTCTATAACCTATCTGGTACATTAAGGTTGAAAAGATAAACTCAAAGATTTCAATCAGCTATGGAGGTAGGTATCTTATCTATTTTTTTGGATAACACAATAGATTCTCAAATGAGGCAATAAATATCAGACTATATATATATATATATATATATATATATTCTAGATAGATGGTAGATATCTCTCAGTATGTATATCAGATAGATGATAGATATCAAATAGATATCAGGTAGATATCAGATAGATACCATCTTTCCATGTGTATATCTGATAGATAGATGATAGACAGCAGATAGATCTCAATGTATATCAGGTAGATAGATCTCTCTATATATCAGATAAAGGATAGATATCAAATAGGTAAATAGATATCAGATAGACACTATATCTCTCTACTTATCAGAGAGATAGATGATAGATAACTCTATATATCACATAGATGATAGATATCAGGTCTCTCTCTTTCTCCCTCCCCCCTCCTCTCTCTAAATATATCTGATAGATACCAGAGAGATAGAAAATCTGTATTCTGCCCATCCCCCCTGCTTTATGCTGGTCATGGGGCTTGAATTCAGTGCTAGGGCAATGTCCCTGAGCTTCTTTGCTCAAGGTTAGCACTTTACTACTTGAGCCACAGCCCCACACTTCTGGCTTTTTGATAGTTAACTGGAGATAAAAGTCTCAGACTTTTCTTCCTGGGCTGGTTTTGAACTGCAATTGTCAGATCTTAGCCTCCCAAGTAGCTAGGATTACAGGTGTGAGCCACTGACACCCAGCTAGAGCATCTCATTTTAAGGACATGTGTCACTGATGTTTTTAAACTAGCTTTTCAAAGTTATTTCAAACATAATACTTAAGTATGAACAGTTGTATTTTAATAGAATTAATGGCCATGTATTAATCTACAAAATCTGTCAGAATGAGTTTCCTGATTCTGATGTAAGCAAATTCACACAACTCCTCTGTGCTCAGCTGTCGAAGAGTAGCTGGACCTAGATTATTGATCAGTAATACTGTGCTTATCTAAACCAGAGGAATTACAAAATCTCCACCCAGGAACATCCAACAAAGGATCAGCCACCCCCCTACCTCCACAAAAGACTTACAAAATTAGCATTTAATTAAATGCTTTTCCTAACTGGACTTCCAACTGCCTTCATTTCTATGACTAAAAGGAAAAAAGCACTAGTCTTGATCTCAAATGTCAAATGAAACCAAAATCACTTAGCTTGTAAAGACACAGGCTCTCAATCAGAGAACTGGGAAAGAGGCCTGTCAATATATATTTCTAATCGTCCCCTAGGTACTGCTGAAGTTGCTGGTTCAAAGACTATACTCACATGGCTAGCACTGGCCTTGACAATACCTCAAGTTCTTATCAGTCCAAAGCTTATTTATAGCACATGATGCATATAAAATTGCCATAGCAATGTGGTCATTAATTAGTAAAATCATTGAATGCCATCCCCTTTCTCAAGCTTTATATGCACATAGATTCTGCTTTACTGTTAAACACAAACCTAGTAAATATGAGTTTTGGCTGGTATTTCTTTGAAAATATTCTTACAATCCCAGAATCTCCTCTAAGACAAAGGTACCATGGAGTCTCCCTTCAATAAATTATTTCAGCCAAGTGGCAGTAACACATGCCTACAATCCACTCCTAGCTTAATCCAATCTCAATTCAAGAGGGAGATCTGAGGATCGAGGTTCAAAGTAGGGAAGTCCATGAGACATTTATTTCCAATTAACCAGCAAAAAGCTGAAAGTGGGGTTGTGGCTCAATTGGTAGAGTGCCAGCCTTGAGTGATAAAGCTAAGAGACAGCACCCAGGCCCTGAGTTCAGGTCAGTACCAGGACAAAAATATATTTCAAAATTGCATTTGATTCTTGACCAAAATATTTTTTAAAATCCTATGACTAAAGTGTCTCTTCATTCTCCAACTCTAAAAGATAGTATAATCCAGACCACTAAGGTTCCAAGAATTGACTCAAACATTATTCCAATGAAATATTTTCTCTCTGTAATCAAGGAAGGTACTTTCATTTCTTTCCCATCTTTCCTTCCCCTCACTTTACCCATAACACCAAATGCAAGGGTTTATACCACAGATACTTAATAAACAATGATAATCAAAATCATGGTTCTGATGGGTGCTGGTGGCTTGTGCCTTGCTACCCAGGGGCTGAAATGTGAGAATGATGATTTGAAGCCAGACCAAGCAAAAGAGTCCATGACACTTTCGTCTCCAGTTAATTAGCAAATAACCAAAAGTGGAACTGTGGTTCAAATGGCAGAATATGATACTTCAGCAAAAAAGCTAAGGAATAGTGCCCATTCCCTGAGTTCAAGCCCCAGCACAGATGCACGCAGGAGCGCACGTGCGCGCGCGCACACACACACACACACACACACACACACACAACACACACCATGCTTCCAAGACCAACTGAATTTCTAATTATATCTACAAATAATGAAAAATACAGTTCTAACTTAAACCTCTTTTTATAACTACTTAAGTAGTATCAGTATTGTATACTGTAGAGAATAGAGAATAAAGTCTTACTCATCTATT